TCCCTACATGAGATGTTTTACTGTGCAGTAGACTAATTACTGCACACTAAAACATAACCATATAACTATGTGCAACAGCTACTGTGCAGTAAATTAGCCTACTGCACAGTTAAGTAGTACCTGTAAATACAGGTACTAAACTAACTGCACAGTAGGTCTCATGTAGATGTTGACCAGGAGTTAGAAGCCAATCAGTGTGGGGTCCAGGTCTCTCTTTGCCCCCTGCTGTTCCTGTGCTGCAGGGCTCCTGACTTCCCACAGGAGTGGGCAGCTGAGCAGCTCTGGGACTGGTGAGCTCTTGCTTCCATCTTCAGCCAGGGGCTAGCCAAGAACTGCCCAGCTAGGGGCTTGCTGCCAGCTGCCCCATGGGCTGATTGGAGCAGGCGGTTGGAAAAGTGCCCCCTCCCCCACAACTGTTTACTGATTGGGGTGGGGGGGTGGGAAAACTTTCCCAGCCCCGTGCTCCAGAGCTGGAAAACAGCTGACCCTCACCCTTCTGGAGCCCAGGCCTATCCTGGTGTCCCGTGCCAGCCTGGGGCTGGCACCTGGGGGTGCCTAGAGCTGCCCCCAGCAGCAGCAGACCTTATGGCAGGAGAGCAGGGCAGGAGTATCCCTTCCCTGAACTGCTCCTGTTGGGAGTATTTTACTGCACAATAAGCTTTCTGTGGAATTAATGCACATGTAGACACAACCCCTGTGAAACTTATACTCACCTTTCTTATAGATTAGTCATACCTGGACATCTGGAGCAAATTCACTTTCTAAGGGGAGTTGATTTCCACTTAGCGCTTGCTCCCACAGGGAAGCTGGAGTGCAGGAAGGTAGAATATGAATTTACAGGGAACAAGCTAATCTGCAGTAAGAGTGGAATTCTGTTTCCCTGGCTGTGCACCTAAATGTCAGTTTTCTAGCCAAGAACCTGGTATTTTTGGCACTTACGCACAGTTTTAAATTCTGTTACTCTGCGGTGTTGACACACAAGTGTGTGCTCATCAACAATTGGCCAGACAGCTATGCTGCTACATGCACACATGAGCCCCAGCAAGAGCAGGGGTATTTTGGCTCCAAAATTGAGTGACTTAGGATCAACCCGGGAAACTGAAGTCTGGGATCCTAAGCCCCTCTTAACCTAGTAGGGACTTGAACCTGTGTTTCTCTAAGTTCCCAGCCTAGGGCTCAAACCACTGTATTCCAGGTTGTCAATGTGTGCATATGATTCTATGCTCTGCTCTTAGCCCAGGGAGCCACCTTCAAAAGCAGCAGTAAAATAAACAACATATAATACCTAACTTGTGGCATGAGGTTTTGAGCATTGTGCTAAGACGTTAGTGATAGACGGATTCAAATCCCCTGTGGTCACAGAGGTTGGGGGATTAGAACCTATCACTTGGAACTTCGTAGGTGAGTGGCTTAGCTACTTAGCTATTGGTAATGAAGCATGGGAAAAAGTCTCTTTCTTTAGCTAACGCTTGTTAGTTATGGCTTTCTGGCCAGTTATGTTTTCATGACATAGACGTTGGTATGTATCCATAGTGGGTGTACCACATGCCCGCACAGGCAGTATTTATAGCCTATAGTCTATGCATGTGTGCTTATGTGTCCACAGTGGATTCCCTACGTGTGCATAAATGGCAAAAATGGTAGGTATGTGGCTAGAAAACTGTTACTTAGCTATACAGGGAAGTAAAGCTCCTCCCTAACTCTGTCCCTGGCAATTCCTGGTGCACACCAAGATGTGTTCCTTTATGTATACAGTATATCCTCAGTTATCTGAACCCTTGGTAATCCGAATGACAACATTTTTCTTACTAATTTGTAATTGTTGGTATTGTGTAGCAATTTCTTCTCTTCTAGGCTTTATTTCTCACAAGTGCTCTCAAGGTTGATACAGTACTGTAATTTGTAGCTGTTGGTAGTATATGTTTTAACTTTTTAAACATTTTTAGTACATTACTGTATCCCTAATCCTTTTCCAAATGAATTCATTTGTCCAAACAACTTTACCCCATCCACTTTTCACAGGGATTTGGATAACTGAAGATGGAGTCTAGTAGCTTACTCCGCTTTCAGAGTGGAGTGAGCTACCTTGTTCGAAGTGTGCACTAGGAATGTCCACATGAGAAGATGATGTGGAGTAGCTACTACACTGCAAGTTCCTACCCTAGTTTATTACAATATCATGTAGATGAGAGGGTGTCAAAGATGGCCTGTGGTCCACACCTGGAACATGAAGCCATGTCACCCGACTTATGGGGCTGCCTGTAGACTGGAAATTTGTTGGTCAGATGAGCAGCAGCTGCTGTAGCATCAGGAGCCATAACAATGCGGTCGTCACTTTTCCCACTGCCAAATTTCTGTCTCCATGGGCAGCTCCACAGAGCAGATGTCACAGCTCTGCACTCTGGATCTGGAACATGGGGAGCCCTGTATTACTAATCTGGCCCATAGGGCCAGGTGTCTTGTAGACAAGCCCTTATGCAAATCCCCTTATATTACCCTGAAGGGGTTCTTAATGGGATAGGCTTGTGAAGAGACTCTTTTTAACTCATTTGGAGCTGGCATAAGGGTTCTGCACAAACTCTGTTTTCAGTCCATAATGTAGAGGGTGGACTGATGGTATGTTGGGGATGTAGCCAGTATATACCGCACTATGTTTATTCTGTGCTTTTCAGGTCTTTGAGTGGGCTTAAGGGTTCAGAGTATGGCTAGGGACAGACATTCAAAAAGCCTGAGCCTGAATTGATTTAATCTTTGCAAGTTAATCTAACCTGGCTAGGCTGGACCAGTTTGTAATTGCACAGACATCCCCTCTGGACTGAAGAAATACAGGCACATGCCTGCAGTGGCTCAAGGTAGAAGCCAGGGGGCACTAGAGCAGCCCTCCCTCCCTTCCACAGTGCTCAGCTGAGGGGGGGAGTGTGGCCAGGACCCTCTGATTAGGGAGGGGTTCCCCCCCCATTTCCTAGCCAGCAAGGGGGTACACAGTATTTACTTGCACAGCAGCAAATTACACAGGGAGTTGTTAGCATTTATCAGCCCATCAGAAAACAAAAGCCTCTCTCATTAGTTCAAGCTCTTCTTAAAGAACTTTCTCCAAGGAAGGAACAGAGGGATGTTACCAGCTACCTCTGGATTAGCTCCAAAAAGCCCTAAGCTAAAACTGTGCTGTCTGCCTTGTCTTGTCTTCCACAGCACAGACCGTAACCAGCATATAGTATTCTAGCTAATGCTAAGAGATGTCTGTGTAAGGCAGAGGGGAGGGGGGAATCCCTGCTTGAGCAGGGAGTGGTGAGGGGAGTAGGAGGAAGCCAAGAAGAGGTTGCTGTACCTGCAGTCTCTGCTGGAGCTCCACGCAGGGAGTTGAGAGGATGGGCCAGCCCTGATGGGCTGGAGCAGAAAGCAGAGTGCTGCCCAAAGTTGCAAAGCATCTGAGATGCTGGGGGAGTCTGGTTGAACTTAAACCAGGAAGGGGTTTGGTTTAACTTAAACCAGGACAGACATTGCATAAATCAGTTTGACCCAAATCAGTTAAATCTGATACTACATTCAACCAGGTTTATCTCAAACCAGTTTCAGCCATTCTCAAACTCGTTTATGTGCACTGAATGTCTGTTCTGTTCCAAGATTAAACCAATTTCTGATCACTTAAACCAGTTTATGTGTAATATCTGTCCCCAGCCTATGAGTCAGAGCAGCCCAGGCTTTCTTCTGACTTACTCCAGAAGCCAGACTTCTGGAAAGGCCCAGAAAATGGGAAGCACAAAAATGGCTTAAAACACCAAAGTTCCCCATTATCCTCCAAAGATTCCCAAAATGTAGGAACAGAGTAACTGAGAACCATGCTCAGAGATTATACAGCCAGGTTGAGCCAAACTCTTAATGGGGAGAGTGGGTCTATGTCAACTGGCTCCTGAAAAGTTAAGATAATTACAAGGCTCTAAGCTTTAAAAGGGTTATTTTATAAATGCCATGTAGTCAGCTTTAAAAAGGGAAGGAGTTAAAAAATCATTTACCCTTTGAAGGCCCCAGCTAGTTTGTGGTTTTAGACTCACATTTTCCTATTTTTAGATATGTTTTTGTCACCTCTGCTTTTGCCTAAAAGGTAGAGAGGAAACTGACTAACTGATTATAACATAGGGAAAACAGTGAAAGTGACTAATGTGCGTAGACAAAACGGGGGCCCTAAATTGAACTGGTGGGTTTTAAAAAACACTGCATCAATTTATGGCTGACTAAACCCCCGTGTCGTGCATATACCCCACTGACTTACCTGCCTGTCCGGTGGGGAGGGGAGGGTGAGCTGCCAGTGGGTGAAGCGGTCCCTGGGCTGCAGGGGGAGTTGGTGCTTCCCTCCGCAGCAGCAGCGGCCCCCCCCCCCGCCCTTCTCCCAGGGCACCCGCCTGCAGGCACCCAGCTCGGGTGGTCCTGGGGGTTACCTCAGCCATGGAGGGAAACACCCGGCCCCTGTGCAGCTCAGGCAGGCAGGCTAAAACTCAAAGGAGTTTTATTTTGCCACGCTCCAAGTCACTTAAGGCGCATTACACCACTGAATTCCCTACGGCAGCTGGAATTAATGCACAAATACACTGGCAAGGTGTGCAAACACCAACACCATTAAAGCGGTGCAAAAGCATTTAGCCTGCTTTAAAGTGTCATGCACACACACATCTCGTTTTGTCTACACATGACCTAAAGCACCAAGAAAGCAAATTTAAAAAATAGAGAAAATATTTTCCTTCTTATTTTTGCTCAAAAATGTTACTTTTTGGAAGCAAAAATAAACTGTTTGGAAAATAGTGCAATTTTAGGTTACATTCCTGAACCAGTATTTACTGGCAGTAATGTCTTACGTATGACTAGGAAATATATAATTGTTGTTATTCAATATAAGATATTCTGTACCTTCAAAATTTGACTTTGTAGTACCTGTAAGTCTGTATATGGTTTCATAAAGAGTTTCCAGTGAACTGAGTAATTTCTCTTCCCTTGTCTTTCCAATTCTACTTAGTTACAACTTTTTGGCTGTTTCTCTGATCCCTTTCAGTTATCGTTATCATAGGTTTTGTTCTGTCTTGTGTTGTTTCTAAAGCTGCTTTTTAAACTGCGATGGGTATCTTTCAATATGTTAGATTTTACTTCCTGTTGAGAATTCTTCCAAAAGAATTACAAACATAAAGAGTTGCTAAAATAATTGACTTGAAAAGGAATTATGGTTATTCAGTGCCCCTCAGGATTTAATTCAGGCATGTTACAATAAGCAGGAAAGATGTATTTTTTAAATATTTTAAATGCACTACCCGAGAGTTGTTTTTTAGAGATGTATTTCTCACCAGGTTTTGTTTTCTTTCCAATAGCATATCCACATTAATTCCATAAAACCTTCATCAATATCAACATTAGGCAAAGGTGAAGTGATCATTGAAGGAAGAAACTTTACACAAGCATCAGATTTGAAGGTGGTGTTGACTGGGTTTGGTGGTTGTAAACGAGAAATGTGAGTCAGACTAACACAGGTGTCTAATTTTATTTAGCATAGTGAAAATTATGCACACAACACTTACCCTTAAGTTTCTCTCTAAACAAAATGTTTTGACCTGCCCCATGCACCCCTATTATGTTCCAGAACTCCACCTGTGTTGGGGGTTCTTGGGAGGATGAAGGGACAAAGTGGGTGGCCCCTGTGTGAGTCACTATTTACAGATATGAGTAATAGGTGCAGGGGGTAAACTTTGTGAGTTAGTATATTGCTCTAGAATGAAAAATGCTCCATCTTGAAGAGCTGATGAGCCACTTCAGTGGCACAGAAGACTCATAGTAATTTTGCAGTGAAAACCTGTCACGGCATGACATATTTTAACCATGTAGCCATCAGGAAATGTCTGGACATATCCTGTGCTTATTGTGTGGTTCTTAACAGTTTCATCTACAGACTTATTTGGACCCCTTCATAATTGTTCAGAGAGTCCTTTTACCCCTTCACTCCCCCTTTCCTTTTTTCACCTTATGGGCTGCCTTTAGTAACAGGGAGAGATGATACTGATGTCAGTCTGTTTGCACAAGGCAGATGGCCCTTTTTTACATGGAAACTCTGATCAGACTTGGAACTCCCACAAGAGGTTCACTTGGGTCTCTTAACAGCCATGTGTAACTCTAGAGTCAGAGGCTGAGCTTTTCTATCCCACGCAAACTGCTGTAAGTCCAAACATTCTTTTCTTTCTCCAGCATCAATGTTGGCAAGGCGTTAAACGACACACACATGATATTCTCTCTCCCTCCGGGACGCAAAGAAGCCAAGAGGGTTTGCATAAAGGCTACTGAGCATAAGTGCTCATCACCAGTGACACTATACTATGTCTCACCACCATCATGTATTAATATTAAACCAAACAGCTCCTGGGCCAGGTAATTTTTGCATACTTTTACATTTTATATTTTTTATTAAAGTTCAGTCCACTGAGGTGATATTAATTTGACTGGCTTTGAGGTAGCTGCACTGACTTTGGAAAAGCTCCGTTCATGTTCACCAACTAGGCTTCTAACATAATAAATCTGTTGTAACCCTTCATGTGCCAGGAATTAATTTTAACCCAATGAACTGAAATAGTTTACTGTGCAAAGATGAATACTTTATTCTGTATTTGTGCTAAATTACAAAACTCATGTTTATTTAACAGTCCTTAATAGTAAATGAAAAATAAACCGCAGGGTTAGAGTCCAATCTTAACTATAAGTGGCAGGTAGCATAAACATATTCAAGTATATTTTGATTTTTCCCTCTAATTTACTTTAGTTAAACTGCTGGTTTTCCTTTCTGTTCCCTGTGACAGAGCTGAGCCCCTTCAGCTCCTATTAAGGACAAGCAATCTTTAGCTCATAATCTAGCCCTTAGTGAGCACATCCTGTTAGTATTTGAATGGAGGAAAATATATGAAAAAGCTAACAAGGAATATGCATCTGCAAATTATTACACTAGTTGTGGTTGACATTAGCAAACAAGATGTTCACTGACATTATAAAAGAGCACTGAACTATTTTACACTTAAATACTTTTAGAATATCATTGTATAACTAGAGAATCTGGCATGCAAATTACCTTGACATGCAACTTTTTATTTTGTCTGCTGTACCGAGGCAAGTTGTTGTTCATTCATTGTTAATTCTTTAATAAAAATTGCAAACATAAACAGCAAGAACAAGATGCACTTATAGGAAATCCCTGACATTGGCTCTTCAATTTTTATTTTTACTTTTTTTACAGTGGTGGTCGCAAAATAACTTTGTTTGGTAGAAATGTTAATGTAGCAGATGGTGTGGTTATTTCAGATGAAAAGAGATTACATCTGAATGTAAGTCTTCACTGTCTTTGCAGTAACAAAATATGTGTTTTTAAAGAGACATGTTTCATTCTTAAGGTTGAAGGCCCCATTGTTCAAACACTTAAGCATACTCTTAATCTGAGGAGTCCCATTGAATCAAACACAGCTACTTGTCTGAATACAATTATATGCCTGCTTTTACACAGAGCAGGCTCAAAATAGTCAATTTCCCTGCACAATTCTCCAATCCCCTCTTTCAGCTCTAAAGAGTCCTGGCCTCTCCCCATATATCTTGAAAAGCTTCATGTTGTACCAGCCCTCTGCCTCTTCAGTGTAGACGCAGTGTCAAAACAGTTTGTGGCAGTTAGTGTGGCTGATGCTTAAAAGAGCAGAGGCCACTAAGACAGAAGCTTTTAATAATAGAGTACAAAAATTCTAAAAAAAGGCTTAGCAGAAGCCTGTGTGGTAACAGCAAGATTTCAAATGACTTTGGGTGCCTTGGAGTACTTCCTCAGGGTGACAGTTTTCTTGTTGGTTTTCCAGGTCTCAAGTTACCCTGAAAATACTACTTGGTATCATTTTCTAGCACCAGAAGTTAGCCATGCAAAAGCAAGTAAAATTGTTGATGTGCTCTTAAAAGTGGAAAATGCCCACAAACCATGTATTAAGTTGCAATATTATCCTGATCCTGTATTCATTAACTACCAACTGCAAACTGAGATGGACCCTCATCTGGAGTTAAAGTTATATGTAAGTTTAAAAAAACAAACAAACCAGTAAATATACACTTGCTTTTCATATATGTTAGTGTTAAATTTTGCCATGTTTTGTACCTGTTTTTCATTTTTAATTTGTTGTCACCAGAAAGAAAATGACAACTTAGACATTTCCAAAAATGAGATTGAAGTTTTTCTCCATTATGAGAATGGTTTGCATTTGAGAACCATACATTTCAGTGTTCAAAATATTACCAAAAATCCAAAACGCAGTACTGTCCTGTGCAAAGGCAAAAGGGAAGGACAAGACAAAATTGATTTTTCTGCAGTGAAAATTTACGTAAGTAAAACTTTCTTTTTCAGTGATTTTGATATTGCTCTTTTTTATGTTGATAAGAAACAGATGATCATGAATATAGTTTACAGATGAAATTATACATAACATTTTAAGCTTCCTGAACTGAAGTTTGCATCCTGCAACTAGACTGCTCTTGGTTCCTGAGCTGACTCATTTAAACCTAACTTGGGCAGATCACTTCTGACTGCAGTGTAGACATAACCTTCAGAAATACCCTTTGTCCCTGGAAGAAGTGTGGAAGTGATGGAGTGGATCTACTGCTGTAGTGTGATAGGGAAGAGGATTCTGCCCTCCCATTCGCCTTTGCCCAACCGATGCCCAGGAAAAAGTGAACTTGCTAAATGGGTACTTTGCATCAGTTTTTCACCAGTCCCATGGGACGCCCCTGCCCACTGTGGGTCAGGGAGGCCCGGGTGTGGGAGATTCCTTGCCCTCCATCAAAGCTGACCTCGTGAAGGAACACCTTGACAGGCTGGACACCTTCAAGTCAGCTGGTCCTGACGGGTTACACCCAAGGGTACTCAAGGAGCTAGCAAGCATCATAGCTCAGCCCCTGGCATGGATCTTTGAGAGCTCTTGGTGCTCTGGTGAAGTGCCCGAAGATTGGAAGAAGGCCAATGTGGTGCCTATCTTCAAGAAAGGGAAGAAAGTAGATCCGGCAAACTACAGGTCCATCAGCCTGACCTCTATCCTGGGGAAGGTCTTGGAAAAGATTATCAAGGAGGCCATCCTTAACAGACTAGCTGAAGGCAATATCCTGAGGGATACCCAGCATGAATTTGTTGCGGGTAGGTCTTGCTTGACCAATCTCATTTCCTTTTATGACCAGGTGACCTATCACCTGGGTAAGGGGGAAGAGATTGACGTTGTATATCTTGACTTTAAAAAAGCCTTCGATCCAGTATCCCATGATCACCTCTTGGCTAAATTGGCTAACTGAGACTTCGACCTCACCATGATCCGCTGGCTGAGGAATTGGCTCCCTGGTCAGACCCAGAGGGTAGTGGTTGATGGAAGTCAATCGTCTTGGTGCGTGGTCACCAGTGGGGTCCCTTAAGGCTGTCCCAGGGCCTATACTATTTAACATCTTCATCAATGATGTGGACATTGGTGTCAGAAGCTGACTGGCCAAGTTTGCCGATGACACCAAACTCTGGGGTAAAGCATCCACACCTGAGGACAGGAGGGTGATCTTGACAGGCTCATAGGGGCGCAAAAGCCCCCATGGCTCACCAAAAGCTTACGGGAGCGTCTCCTGGCTAAAAGGGAGGTGTATACCCAATGGAAGGGAGGGGCCATCACTAGGGAGGACTATACCTCGGTTGCTCGGGGCTTGTAGGGGGGTGGTCAGGAAGGCCAAGGCAGAGATGGAACTGGGACTAGCTACCCAGATCAAGGACAACGAGAAGTCCTTTTTTAAATACATAGGGGATAAAAAGAAGGTACCGGGTAACGTGGGGCCTCTGCAGGACACGCTAGGAAATCTGGTGGTCGCACCAGATGACAAAGCTAACCTATTTAACAATTTCTTTGCCTCCATTTTCCTGAGCAGGGACCGGGTCACACCCCCCACCAGGACCTCCATAGGCCCCAGGAAAGGTGCACCCAAACCTAGGGTCCTTGAGGATCTAGTCAGGGAACTTCTGGAGGGACTGGACGTATTTAAATCAGCTGGTCCTGACAATCTCCATCCCAGAGTGCTGAGGGAATTAGCAGAGGTCATTGCAGGACCCCAGGCACGGCTTTACGAGCATTCGTGGCGCTCTGGTGTGGTGCCAGAGGACTGGAAAAGGGCCAGTGTGGTTCCCATTTTCAAAAAAGGGAGGAAGGAGGACCCAAGAAACTATAGGTCAGTTAGTCTTACCTCAATCCTGGGTAAGCTTTTTGAGAGAATTATCATAGCGCATGTCCACGAGGGGCCAGCAGGGGAGATTATGCTTAGGGGCAACCAACACAGGTTCATTAGAGGCAGGTCCTGTCAGACCAACCTGGTGGCCTTCTATGACCAGGTCACAAAATCCTTAGACGCAGGGGTAGCAGTGGACGTCGTCTGTCTGGACTTTAGGAAGGCCTTCGACACAGTCTCTCACCCCATTCTCATTAAAAAACTAGGGGACTGTGGCGTCGACA